TGATTCAAAAATTACAGCGCGGAGTTGTGACGATTTTTTTTAGTTTTCGTTTCGCTCGAATACGAAAAATATTAATTGTTTGGATGACATAAAAACAAGATTATGTATTTATAAAAGAAAAGTACTGTAATTAAAAAGTTGAGAACTTGATATTGTGATTAATAATTATGATTACTCTATCATTATAACAGACATTAAATATTAATTAATACGGACAATTAAATTCCTAAAATAATTTAATTAAGTTCGGAGAGATGCCGAAATATCATTTTCGATCTGATTGAATTTCGATACATTTAATTTCTCTCAAAACGATACATTGCATCAACTTAAGACATCGTAGTTAATCCCGAAGAGATATTACTCAACGTTTGAATAATTATTAACGTTACTAATTTCAATGATATTCTAACGAATTTCATCGGAGTGTAAAGCAAGCGACCAATAGTAATTTATAACTGAAACAAATTCTCGTACTGCTAAAGACATTTATAGTCCTTTTATATATCGGCATTTCATACCGTACGTTAAGGAAAATCCGTTGTAAATTCGAAATTTATTATCAAGAAAGACAATAAAGTATTCGATGCAATATCGAATGATAATGAAGAAATGAGTGACGGTATTTTTAATTTTCTGTCAGTTACCGTTATAAAGATGTGAAGTTTTTCATTTTATAAAACCGAACTTCAGTTTTAACTAGGCAAATATAAATCAGGTGTGTTTATTAGTACTGTAGTATAAGTAAAAATATAAATTAGAGATTTATAAATTATATAAGTCAATTCAGAAATGAGAACTTGAGCATCAAAGTATGAGAATTCTTAAATTTTCTATAATTCGAGACAAAAAATTTAGTTTTTGAAGGAATATTATGAATCAAAATATGCAAAAATTAAATATCAAAATTAACTTTTTATTAAATTCTGTGTTCAAGAGCGAGTTATCTTCATACAATAACGAGAAACAATAAATTCATTGTTTTATACATGTGTATAAAACTGCAACGTGAAAGTAAAATTTTTAGAAAATAATTTTAGAAATCAACAAAATAAATAATTATTATCAATTCTTGATCATAACTGAAAAATTAAAAACAATATTCTAGATAATTTAATTTGGATACCTAATTATAGGAATAAGTTCTGCGGGCAAATCACAATTTAGTGTAAAAACTACGTATAATTGAAAATTTCTTATAGTTATGAATTATTAAAGACCAACTGTATGTGAAAAACGCGTATGATGAAAATCATATGTTTTACATGACCAATTAATAGCATCGAAACTGAATTCTTGTTAGGTAATTTAGTTTCGATGCGATTTATTGGTCGAAACGAAAAATCCGAAAGCATTTAAAAGTATATTTTAATATAATTGTCAAGATTGAAACTTACAGATTGATTTCGCATAAAATTTTATTTCGTTTACTGGAATAAGAACACATTTGTAAAAGCACTTTACGACTAATTCTCGTCGTAAAGTGCTCTTGCAGCAGAATTTTCAATGTGGCACAGGAATGTTTGTTACTTTTAACACTTCATACAGTAAATTAGATGAAATTTCTTTATGTATGCAAATAATTCAAAGAAAAATTACACTAATTTAAGCAAAAAATTTCAATAAAATGAATTATTATTATTATTATTATTATTATTATTATTATTGTTTGCAAGTGACGTGTGCTATATACAACAGTCGTAATTTCTACTAAGAATTCATCTAGTTGATTCAGATCTGTAAATGATAGGCCATAAAACGATGGCTGAATACATCCCGAGTGCAACTGAAATAAGGTTTAAATCTTGAAAAAGAATCAAGATACCTAATTTTAATAAATCTTAATTTAATGTAGCTTTAATTTTCGATAAAGTTTCAGCTTCTAACTTGATCTGTCAATCCGTCATTTTGCATTACTCCTTATAAGTTATAGACTATAGAATATAGAATTTTGTCGGCGAAATTAATCCTTAAGGAATCATTTTTTGGCATCATCTATCTAATAAATATGCTTCTGAGTCATTTAATACATTCAGAAAGTATCATAAACGACTCACAGAATTTTTATTTACGAAATACTCTTAAAAATAATATTCAGGATACGTATCATTTGCTAAATATTGGTAAAAAAGTTTAGCAATATTATTGAGAAATATTTACATTCCGAGAAAGTCTGCTCCTTTATTTTTGTCATTTAAGTTGGACTTACTAATTTATATTCGGAAATATACCGAACTCCCGATTATCCGCGCTAATTAGGGCATGGAAAACCGGAAAACACGGATAATCCAAAATAACCCTCGAAACTATAAAAAAATACTATTTATAGGTTTTAAATTAACTACAGCTCAACCCCGTTATAACGTGATGCGAGTATGAATTACATCTCCCTAGTTTCTCAAGTTCAAGTTCGAGTCAAGCTGAAATACATATTTATCGAATAATATTTTTAAATATATCGTGTAGAAATTTAAATTTTACGTTTGTAAGCATGATTCTTACATTTTTATTTCAAATTAATGTCTTTTAATTCTAAGACTAGTAGGGTATTTTTAAACTGTTTATAGCGTATAAGTGTGACTTTTTTGCGTGTATCAATATATTTTTTAATTTTCGTATTTAAATTGAGGTCAACTCTCTTGGACGTTTTAAATCTTTTCATGAAAAGTCAGCTCAGCTTGAAAGATTACTGCATGTGCACTGATGATGTGTACACAACTTTTCATGCGTTACGCTGTCCGTGGGAAAAATGGACAAATTATTTTGGCGATGCACGGATAATCGAAAGTTCGGTGTTTGTTATAAGTTCACAATACTCACATTCGTGATATTATCATACGTTTAATAGTTTTAACTACACAATAATTTTTAATTGTGTAGTGTTTCCTTTATTCCGAAAGTTTTCAGCCTATTTGGATAGGCCATCTTCAGGCTTTACATTCATCGTTCCAAATGGAACCATTTGTTCGAATTTATTTCATTTGAATTTGAACTTTTAAAAAACTTATGTATATACAAGAGTAGACTAAGTAAATAGCTAATTAACAATAATATCAAAACGCGTTGCAACTTAACAAACACAAAAAAAACATAAATTTCTTCTGGTCACCCCTATATACTCTTTATCAATTCCTAATTGGGGGATCAGAAGAAACCTTACGGTACGTGTAAAGGAACACAAATATAGTGTTAATAAAGGACTCGATAGCACGATATTGGCAAGTATGGCACAATCAGACGGAGCAGTAGTCAAATGGGATGAAGAGAAGATTGTTAGAACGGGGCACTCACCGTCCATCGCGATGGAAATGGAAAAAATAGAGATTTACAAAAGTAAAATAAGGGACCGATGCCTAAATGCGAATGATGCAAATGCATTACCAACGGCTTGGAAATATAAAATTGAAAAGAGTATGGGTTTTAATAATCCATAAAAATATGAACTGGAGATTATAGGAATTAGTATTTAGTCTCATTTAAATTTTTTATAATTTTTGTGTTTTTGTGTTTGTTAAGTTGAAACGCGTTTTGATATTATTGTTAATTAGCTATTTACTTAGTCTACTCTTGTATATACATAAGTTTTTAAAAGTTCAAATTCAAATGAAATAAATTCGAACAAATGGTTCCATTTGGAACGATGAATGTAAAGCCTGAAGATGGCCTATCCAAATAGGCTGAAAACGTTCGGAATAAAGAAAAAAAAAACTCGGAAAATATAAATCAGGTGTGTTTATTAGTAGTATAAGCAACTAATATTGCCGAGAAGGAGATAGATAGTTTATATTTTTATTCGAAATTTCTGTAAAAATATACTAAATTTATTCTAATATCTAAATTTATATGTAATAAAATATTTTGAATTTATAGATCTCTCTTGTAATTTATAAACTCTCGTATCTTTATGAGCACCTTCTCATTTCTGAATAGATTTATAAATTATGTAATATAAGATAAAATAATAATTTATATAAATGTCACACTCTAGAACCTAAAAAGTCCAGTAACAACAGCACTTTAATGGATAACTAACGTTTTCGACCGTACACCGGTCTTCCTCAAGTTTTTAAACCAGTACGATTCGAACGTGGAATGCAAAGAACAATATTTACAAATTATTTTTAAAAACCCATGGAACGTATAGAACACATGTTCAAAAATTATTTTAAAATCTACGGAACTATCTAAGCGCGTATAGACAACTTTTATCCATATATGTTACCATGGCGATAGAAATATATCTATACCATAAACAGTGAGTAACAAGATATAAATAATGGTATAGACAAAGGTTGCTAACTGCTGGTGTCGCCCGTTTTTTCATAATGGTACAGTACCTCCAAGTGTTGTTGTTACTAGACTTCTAAGGTTCTAGAATGTAATTTATACGTTCCAGTAATTCTGTAAGAAGTTGTTTTAATATATAAATATGTTTGATAGAAATAAAAAAGTTCATAAAATTCGATTTTATTTATTTTATTTTGAATTTATAAAATTTAATTTTATATTAATCACAATGAAATATTATAAATTAATCTGAAAATATACTTGATTTTTATAATAATAATAATAATAATAATGAACTGCAATTTAATTCTGACATATGTGAAATTTTTTATAGAATTTAGTATTTTATATTTTGCTTGTTTATTATTATAAATATTTTTGTTTTAAATTCTATAAATGATTAATTACAACCAATTTTTCTTATAAATTACTCGAAGTACAAGAACTGTGTTAACAATGGGTTAGACAAGGATGGAACTTTATTCATAAATTGATAATAGTTTGAATATTGAAATATAGCAAAATTGTCGAATGTAGCAGCTATATTTACAGAAAATTATGATAGTAAAAGTATGAAAAGTTGTATGTTAAATATAATAAATAACATTTATTCGAATGCCAAAGAAATACGTGAGGTAAAAACATAATTCATGTTTGAAAAAGTAAAAACAATTTACACGAGAAAAATAAATAATAACGTTCAAATCTTTCAGGTGAGTCTAATGGAAGCCATGAAAAATAAACTACGAATGTCCATAAATGGTGATTTAGAAGGAGAATGCAGCAGGGTACGAACAGGGTCCATTTAATTCGGTATACCAATTTCAATTTTTATTTCTTTAGTACTTTACGTAAGTGGAAAGATATCCACTCGGTTGTAATTTTTCGTGATAATTTTCTGGAAATTTTCTTTAATTTTCAGCTTAAGATATTTAAAAAACGGTAAGGAAATTTTACTTAGTCAGAATTTAATTATTTTTTTACTAAAAATTGAACTGAAGATAAAAAATTTTTCTTCTTTAAAACTGATGCTTGATTCGTTAGCGAATAACACTAGAAAACAGTTCAAAAATATTCAAATAAAATTTGGAATTGGATAAAATAAATATAGAATTATATTTTTAAATATTAAAAGCAAAACTAAATATTTTTGCACAATTTTAAGTAATTAGAATTTATTAATTTTAAATTTTTAATTGATTTTATAAGGTTTACTTAAGAAGATAACAAAAATATTAAAACGATGTAGGATTTAGAAATTATTGACAAATTCGATGTTACAAAGTCCAAATTTTTATAGAATTTCTCACAAAATCGACATTAGAATGGCCAACTTGTGGTAAGAATTTTGCCAAATTCGATGTTAGAATGGACAAATTTTGTTAGTAGGGTCAAATCTTTACAGAATTTTTTATAAAATCGATGTTAGAATGGACGAATTTGATAATTCTTATCAAATTTGGTCATTTATCATTTCGTTTGAACTTAACGAGTATTTAATACGAAGAACTAATTCGAATTAACCAAGAAGAAATTATAAAAATACTTATAAGGGAAAAAAATGCAGAATTGCAATTAACTTGATTATTACCGAGATCATTTTTAATTGTAAATGACGGCGAAAATAAACGTAATTAACGAAAAGCGAATTTATATATTTTCGTTGTTAATTTTTCATAATTTATTACGTAACATCGGACATTCGGGGGTAGAAAAAAATTATTTGACACGAAATAAATTAAAAATGTCTGAATCTGTGAAATAAACTTTTAATCATTTTTCTTAATTACGTTCTCTCGTTATATTTTAAAATTCATTTTCCATCGCTTTATAGGTGTTTAATTTAATAAATTAAATTTTTATTTGGTTTTTATGACGATAACATTTATAAACATCGTCAGCAAGAATGGAAGAATGCGAACTGAGAAAAGAATTAGGCCCACGTTTGAGTTTTTTCTCCAATTATAAAAATTGTAGATATTCGAAATTTCACGAAATAAATTATACATATATACATACATATGTATAATTTATTTCGTTGTATTATGTATTTTATTAAACTTTATTTCTAGGCATATTTACAGAGGAAATAACTTTTATAAAGCATTTCTTTACACGTGGATAGAATTTTGTAATAAAGGTGAACCTTCAATAACGGCCACTTCCCAAAAATGGACACATCTATCATTTTTTCAGGATATTTTTCAGAAACCTTTGTTGAACAAAAATGCATACAAAATAACCTTCATATAATGGCCACCTCCGAACAACGAACATATCTAAACAGCAGCTACTTTTTCACAAATGTTCGAGCAAAATGCATGCAAAATGCATACAAAATAACCTCCATATAACGGCCATTCTTTTATGTTTACGCGGTGGCCGTTATTCAGAGTTTCAGTTGCATTTTTTTTCATCTGTCTTCGTGTTCATTTCTGCTCTCGGAGATTTTATAAACTTAATTTTTTTTGCCTCCGGTTTCGAACATCTTCTGTACTTTCAAAGTGAAAAAAAAANGGTGTTAAATTTTTATAATTCTGTGTTAAAGATGATGTTTAGAATTTCATTTACTTATTTCTAATAAGTAAATGAAATTCTAAATAAATAATGTAATAAATAAAAATAAAAATCACTCAAAAATTAGTACAGTGCAGTAAAGAAGCGTTGTATTAATTAATATACTGTAATTATGATAAATTAAGATTTTGTTTTAATATTGAAATAGATATACTGAATATTTGAAATTGAATTGCTCTATTTTTCCAATATTTCAATATTTAATTTATTATTGAAATATTGAATTTATTAATATAATTTTTTTGATATAATCGATTTACAGAGAAATATCTAAAATCGTAACTCGAAATTTATTCAAAATGGACGAGTGATAACGTTTTATATGAAGCTAAAATTTAATTAAATCTTACAACCTTTAACTCTTGATAAGAGGGGGGGGAAAGAATAAACTAGAGTTTAAAAATTTATCGAATTAATTCAAATAAGAAATCAAAAACGTAAATTTTGATGAATAGAAGAAGAAGAATTTTCCAGTTGATTTACTTTATAAATTCTGTTACATTCTGATTAAAAATTTTGTTAAATCCTTACAATTTTTAAAATATTGTTGTGAATGCGTTCTGGAATAGCTTAAAACTTTAATTAACGAAGAAAATTTTCTTTAATATATTATTAATACATAAAACAAACCACAAAGATAAATTGTACGAGAGTGAATTGAATATTGATTTCTACATTTGAAAACGGGGAGTAGACAGGGGGAAAGTCAGTGCCAATTGTTGCTCCCAGCAAAGGAAAACAACTAAAAGTCATTATCTAGGTAATTACCGAGTCTTTCCCTGTTGGTAGTAGAGGTGACAATAGACTGCCACTCATCAACAACAGTAATTACCCAGTTGTAACCGAGGAAGTTCAATCTTTGCTTCGGTTTCTTCATTTCTTGGCCACCCAATATTAATTAAATTTATTTTTGGTGAAAACTCTTCTTGTTTATCAAATTCTCCAACCAATTTTTATTTTATTTCAAATGGAATATAATTTACGCCCTGGCAAATAAGAATATTTGTATAGGAATTTGATGCGAATGTTTTAACTCTTAGAAACTCGTCTTGTTACACGGATAGTCGAATTTCTTTGTGAGTCTGAATCTATTCTAATTAATGGAGATTATAGTAAATTATGATTAACAAATCATTAGAAGAATCGAAATTAGTCTTCAGAATTAGAAAACTTTGAATTTTGTTTCCAGAATTTCCAGAAGAATTTCATTTGCATGTGTCTTTCTGTAAGAAACCAGATATTTATATTCAGTTCTTTTACTTGGTAATTTTCCTTAACTTGTTTAATTCGATTAATTTAGTTTGTTGCTATTCTCTCGAAATAATTAAATTACTTTGCATTGAGAATTCATAAATTTTTCATCAAAAATAATTATGATTTTGCTGCGTTGTTAATAAATTATAAAATATATATTTAACGTAAATATTAAATATTTTTATTACTTAACTTCTTTTATTCCAAACCTATTTGAGAATTTGAATAAATTATAGCAATATTGTATCTTCTTTATTAAATAACTTAATATAATTTACAAATTTTTATACTTAATTCATTTTTAAGAACTTTACCTTAATAAAAATTCCAATTATAACCATAAATCCATTGAAAAAAAATTTAAAATTTATTAGAAATTTGCTAACTTTAAATTGGAATTAACCAAATTTTTGAAGGTAATAGTATAATGCTGCTAACTTAGGGTAATTTATTATAAAAATCGAATAAAATCTGCTTCTATATTAAGCATCGCTCTCTTGTGAAATGCCACGGACTATATAAATTTATTAGATTTATTGGTTATCAACAATCACATGATCAGTTTTTTTGTCCCCTATTATTATGTATGTTATCCGATTCTTCTACTTTCAACTTTTTATGAATAAAATTCGCTTTATTTTATAACTTTACATCGTGTTTCGTGTGGTTACTTCGTCCTCTGCACAAATTCACTTGAATTACTTACAAATGAATAAAATTATTTTTAAAAAATCACTTATTTTTTACGTTAAGAGTGTTCTTATAATGTTTTACACGTAGTAAATTAAATAATTACACTACATAACAAAAATTTATTTGACTAACTAATTTTTGGAACTACAAGAAGTTTAGATCCTTAGAGTTTCGATTCGTATGTAATTTTAAGTAGATATACAAAAAATAATTTATATTGTTTAATTACTTTATTTTCTATAAACTACGTTAAATTTTGGAATCATAGAAATTATTCCATTTTCTCAAATATTTTCAGGACAGGCCTTACATCAATAATCATCAATAAGGACTTTATAAGAACTACTGTTTAAAATTCCCCAAAAAGGGATTATTTGATCCATTTTCAATATAATAAGTTAGACATATAAAAAGACATAATAAGATAATTTTGTGTTTCGAGTGTTTTTTTTTTCTATCGAACACGTCAAAACATTACAATAACATTTTGTCCATTGACTAGAGCAATTCTTTCTTCCCGAAAACATTTTTATATATATTTTAACTGGAGCGTGAATAAACAATAAAAGACTGAACGATAAACAATGAGTTAATTGTTCAAATGGGTGTTAAATTTTTATAATTCTGTGTTAAAGATGATGTTTAGAATTTCATTTACTTATTTCTAATAAGTAAATGAAATTCTAAATAAATAATGTAATAAATAAAAATAAAAATCACTCAAAAATTAGTACAGTGCAGTAAAGAAGCGTTGTATTAATTAATATACTGTAATTATGATAAATTAAGATTTTGTTTTAATATTGAAATAGATATACTGAATATTTGAAATTGAATTGCTCTATTTTTCCAATATTTCAATATTTAATTTATTATTGAAATATTGAAAAATCCCATTACTAGAACTTCGTGATTTCATAATGAGATTTTTGTTTAGGAATTGCCATTGAATCGGAAAGATCTTCATAAAATCTCATTGAAAACATCCCTCTTTGAGATAAATATATTTTATATCTGCTAAATAAACATTAGAAATTGTTAAAATTAAAAAGATGGATCGTTTTTAATATATTTCTATAAAACTTTTCATTATTTTGTAAACAACTACTCTTTTAATGGGTACATTTAACCAGAAAACTGATATTTACTAATAATTATTATCAAACATTACTATGTCAATGAGATTTAAAAAATAAACATGCAGATATTAAAATTTAAATATATTGCAACCATCTGTTTTATAAATATGCGGTTTTGAGGAGGGTGAAATTAGACTTACACGTATTATTAGTTATATCTGTACAAGTTTAACACAATGATTTTAACATTCAAATGTATATTCGAATTAGAAATTCGATTATCCGAAACTCCGGATTTTCAAAAACGATTGTATAAAAAGAACTTGAAGCGTTA